CTCCTGCCATCCTCTCCCTCCCTCTTTGCCTCCTTCTCTCCATCTCCCTTTTCCCTCTCACCCCTTCCTTCCCATTGCACTTCCCCACCTTCCTTGCTTTCCTTCCCCTACCCTCTTCTTTCTTTATTCCCCTTCCTTCTTCCTCTTCCTTTTTCCTACCTCCTCCCCCCTTCCTCCCCACTACTCTCCTTCCTTCAAACCCCTTCCTTCTTCCTTTTTCTACCGTCCCACCTCCTCCTTCTCCTTCTCTTCCCCTTCCCCTCTCTTCTCCCTTTCTTGTCCATCGTAATTCCTCCTTTTTTCCTACCTTCCTTCCCTTCCCCTCCTCCTCCTAATTCCCTTCCCTCCCTACTCCTTCCTTATATCCCTTCCTCTCTCATTACCTTTCTTCCTTCCCCCCTCCACCTCCTTACCCCTTCCATCCCCTATTCTTTCCCTCTTCTTCCTTCCTCCTCTCCGCTTTCTTCCCTTCCTCTTTTAAATCTTTCGTTATTGAGGATTAAATCTGGGCTTTTTTCTCGTGTTTTTGTTTCCCATTTTTTTTCCTGTTTTGTCTCGTTTATTTTCTTTGTTTTTTATGTACTTTTGTGTGTTTTGGTGTTTTTGTTTTTGTTTTACTGTAGCTGTTGTTTTGAGGATATTGTTCTTGTTTCTTTGTTTGATTTTGTTTTTGTTTGTTTGTTTGTTGATAAAATTTCTTGTTTGTTTGTGTTTTTGTTTGATGTTGCTGTTGTTATTTTTGTTTGTTTTGTATTTGTGTTATTTGTTCTTGTTAATGTGTTTTTTTAACTGTTGTTTTTTTTTATCTTTTCTTTCATTTGATATTTTTTGTTATTTACCTTGAAAATATAAATTCATCTTCCTCCTCCTCTTCCTCCTCCTCCTTTCCTTCTTTCCTTCTCTTCCTCCTTTCCTTCTCTTCCTCCTTTCTGCCTCCTTCCAACCTTCCCATAACTACTCCACCTACCCCTTCCTCTCCCATCCCCTCCCTCCCTCCCTCCCTCCCTCCCTCTATTCCCTCCTCATCCCCCTCTTCCATTCCTCCTTACATCTCTCCCCCCCGTTTCCCTCATCTCTTTCCCTTCCCCATTCCACCTATCCCCCTTTCCCCCCTTCCCTCCTCCCTCCCTTTCCTCCGTGATTAAATATTTGAAGAGAATTATATAATGCAACTCCCATATTTATGACGTCATTCGATAGCTTCCATAATCTTATAATTGGCGATTTTAGGATTGGCGAGGGATTTATTAAGTCACGCCAAATCCCTAAAATTATTGTGTAAATCAGGATTACCGCGCAAAGAAAGTAATCCAGCCACAGTGGATTAAAAAAAAAATACTTCCCTGGGATTTTTTTTGGGGTGGGCGGGTTATATACAACACGTGGAGATTACTCTTGTTATTATTATGGTTAATTGTATATTTTATTATGTGTCTGTTTGTATATTTGGTGTTTGTCCGATTTTCTTCTTTTTTTTCTTGCTTTTTTTTCTATTTTCTTCTTTTCTTCTTTCTTCTTTTTTCTTCTTTTCTATTTTTCTTTTATTCTTTTCTTTTTTTTTCTTCATCTTTCTTTCTTTATTCTATCTTTTTTTTTCTTCGTTTCTTCTTTTCTTGTCCCGTCAAAATAAAACTCGGGTGATATGGCATTAATGAAGGGCATGTTATCATCTGTCCGTCCGTCAGTCAGTCTGTCTGTCTGTCTGGTTAGTGAGAGACAGGGGGAGGTGGTGGGGGTGGTGGGGGCTGTGGTGGTGGTGGGGAAGGCGAGCCATTAATAGCGTCTCTAATATCTTCGTGTTTGTTTGTTACTTCTTATTTCTGTCCTCACCAATTTCATCACCGTTGTCATCATTTCTTTCTCACTTCCTTCTTACTACTCTTCATATTCCCTAACACTTTTTGCTTCTCCTTCTCCTCCTCTTGTTCTTTTTGCCCTCCTCCCCCCTTTCACTTCTTCCTCATATACCTCCTCTTCATTCTTTTACCTAATTCCTTCATCATCTTATCTTCTTTTCCACCCTTCTCTCCTCCCACACTCGCTGCCCCTCCTCCTCCTCCATTACATCATAAACACACACAATAATCTTACTCCTACAAGTCGTCATATCTCGGTTTTATCTAAGAATTCCGAATTATAGTGATTAGGCAGATTTATATCTCGGTCTTGCCAATAAAGGTGTTAAAATCATCTCCTTGGTACAGCATTGGTTTACCCTCACATGTCTGTCTGTCTGTCTCCCTCCGTATCTTTCTCAATACCTCTCTCCCTTACTCTATTCTCCCTCTCACAACCCCTCCCTTTCTATCCCTATATCTCTTTCCACCCTCTTCTTCTTTCCTAACTTATCTCCCTTCTTCCCTCCCTCCCTCCCACTCGTAAGATATGATATGATATGTGCACGTGTGTGTGTGTGTGTGTTTGTGTGTGTGTGTGTGTGTGTGTGTGTGTGTGTGAGCGCGCTTCCATTTTATCCCATTTTACTATCAACATTAATATAACACTAAGACCAAGAATACGACAATTAATGACACAGAGCGGCGTCAGCTGAAGAGTGGCTGTTGAGAGGTTGGGTGTGGGATGGGAAGTAGGGTTTGGGGTTGGCTATTACGCTCATTACGCCAGACTGGTAATCCCTGGCGTATGTTGAGCCATTGTGCGTTACCCTGGCGTATGTCTGAGAGAAGGGCCTGACCCACGGTTGACGCCAGTGTGTGTTGGTTCGAGCCGCGGTTTATGGGGTAAATGGTCCAATTTAGGTTTCTACAGGAGCTTCCAAGTGTTCCCCAGGGCACTTATCCCCGGGCGTTTTGATTAGTCAACTCCCTTCTTTTTTATCGCTTTCTGGTGCAACGTTAATGTGGGAAGGACAGAAATGGAGGATTTATCGAAGTGTACATGAAGGATATGGTATTGTTATTGATATTTATCTGCCACCGCCACTACTACTTCCTGCCATCATCACCACCACTACTTCCTGCCACCACCACCACTACTTCCTGCCATCACCACCACCACCACTACTTCCTGCCATCACCACCACCACCACTACTTCCTGCCATCACCACCACTACTTCCTGCCATCACCGCCATCACCACCACTGTGCCATCACCACCACCATTACTCCTGCCGTCACCACCACTACTTCCTGCCACCACCACCACCACTCCTCCTGCCATCACTCCTCATCACCACTGCTGCCATCACCACCACTGCTTCCACACCACCACCACCACTACTCCTGCCACCACCACCACTACACCACCACCACTACTTCCTGCCGTCGTCACCACTACTTCCTGCCGTCATCACCACTACTTCCTGCCATCACCACCACTACTTCCTGCCACCACCACCACCACCACCATCCATTACTTCCTGCCGTCATCACCACTACTTCCTGCCATCATCACCACTACTTCCTGCCACCACCACTACTACTTCATATCATATTTAATGAATACTAACCCTCCCCCTCTTCCCTTCCCAACACCACCCTCCCCTCTCCTTATCGCTCACGTAATGCTGAACTTCCCTTCCGTTTCAGTGATTCCGAATACGTAGTCGGACAATTAACACTAGCAAATGCTCTGCTCAGCTGTGGCTGTAGCTTTAATAATAACAACTCTCCAGACAAGACACGACAGGGCGAACCTTCAAAATTCTGAATAAGATGGAAGACGCAATCCCAGATAAGTTTTTCGAGATTGCAAGCTCCACAACACGGGCGGCTACAGCTTAAAGCTAACTAAATTAACATGTAGGACAATTATAAAGGAGTACTTCTTCACTGGAAAAATTCCTTAAAATATATAACAAAACTAAAACGGTAATAACTACATGTGGTGTAAACAGGAGCGAGAAACTGTCATTGCCGAGGTTTATTTTGTGTTTTATGTACTGCACAGCGCCACAGAACTAGACCAAACCAAATATGACCAAACCAAATATCACCAAACCCTAAAGTTTTGTTACATACCAAAGTAAAATCAATCATAGGCCAAACAGAACAGATACAAAGTGAACAACAACAGCTATATTGACTTAGCTGAGTCAAGATGGTATGTGGTGGTGTTGGTGACTGCGAAATAATATCTCATGTTAAAATTTTCAGAGTTGCATTGGGAAAAAAAAAATCACTGAAATTTTGAATAGGTGTTTGTCAGTCAATCAAAAACCTTTAGGTACTTTATAACTCATTTATTATCAGGTTTGTTTAGTGCAGGAAAAGTTGTAGAACAAGTTAGAGGGTTGTAGTGTCATCCAAGAAACTAACCTTTTTTTATCATAGACACTTTACTTCACTATTTGCTGCATTTTCCGGAAAAGTAAGTCCCTTGGATGGCGAAGTGTTACTGTATATAAATGTTAACACACACACACACACACACACACACACACACACACACACACGTACACCTAAACATACACACACATCACTATCATACCTAGACCCGTTACTGTTGTTATTACTATTATTTTAATTATTGTTGTTGTTAATATTTCCATTATTATTTGTATTACTATTACTATTATTAGCACTCCTACTATCACTGCCCTTGCACACACATTTAATATTACTACCGTTATTATTTCTAGTGATATTATTATTGTTACGATCATTGCTACCGTCGTTATTGTTATTTTCATAATTATTATTGTTTTTATTACTTTTCCCGTTATCTTTATGAATTATAACTATTAAAGTTTATTTACTATATTCTTCCTTCCATCTTTTCTTTCATTTTCTTTTGGTTATTTATTTTTCTCTTTTCTTCTTTCATTTTCCTTCCTTCCTTCTTTCTGTCCTTTCTTTTCTTCTTTCTTCTATTATTATTTGCAAACTAAAACGTCAATTTATGAAGTGGAATACATTAAATTCAATATTAAAAATCGTTAAAAATCTCCATTCGATGTCCAACTCCCCCCCCCCCCTTCCTCCACCAATTTGTGGTTGGTATGAAGGTTTTATGATACAGCTCACAGGTGTGTGGCACAAGTGGGACGCGACGAGGTGTAGAAGTACTTGCCCCGCTAGCCTCCTGCAGTACAGAGTCGCCTCAGTCACTCTACCGTCTAGATCTCTCTTAAGCTGACGATAAGCCAGACAAGCTGCTTCCCGTCACCATGAGAGTCAACAAGCTGGTGTTTGCCGTCACACTTCTGGTCAGTATCTCTCCGTCACACAAGTTGTTTCCCCTCCACATCCACAGCACTTATGGTCCCACACCCTCCACAACACTGTGTTAATTATCATGTAGTGACATAGTTTACCACGTTCAGCTGTAGTGTCGTTGACCTTCGTTGTTCTCTCGTCGGGATAATGTCCACCTCATACTCGTTCACTTTATCACTTAGCTTAAGGGTCGGTTCGTTTCTCAGTCTTTTTTCCGCATGTTAAAGTTATCACTTGGGTATAAACATCTGAAGTTGGTTGTGAATTTCCCGGTGGGAGTTAACTCGCGATCAGTAGTTTACTCTAGGCGCCCAAGCTGTAAGTTTATTGATTATCACTTCTAAGTACGATATATTGTGTTATAATGGCTTAGCACTGTCTTTAGTTTGTATGGTAATATTATACTAATTTTGTCGATAGTTTTTGTAACAATATTATACACTGAGTCTATCATTCTCAAGTTTCGCGATATATGTAAATGAATTGTAAATATTTATTTTTACTAAGTAGTAGAATATTAAGTTGAGTATAATCTTATTTTCCTAGTTATTCGGACGATATAATAGTGTTTAAAAGTGCCGGCCGAAATGATTAGGAAGAAGGAAAAAGATTGTTGGCGGGAGGTGTAATTCCTATTACGATTTACTTAATTAATAAATTTAATAAGAAACTACATCGTAATGAAATAATAAGTTTACCAAATATAAACTATTATAAATTTTAGTGTAAGAGATGAATTACGTTTAGGCCTTAGACATTTTCCCGCGAATCCACGGCGTGGGTACACGAGCGGATAGCGTCACCTCCTGGACGGCACCGAGCGTCCAGGCGGACGACGACCAACTCACGAACGAGAAAGACTGGCTGGACGACTACCGTACTGGACGTTCTAGTACCTTCTGTCAACAAAATAATTCATATAAGTTTATGTTAGTTGTGCCTATCAAGACTTAATATAATTAGGAATCCCAAAGGAACTATAGAATTCATCATGGCGTAGAAGGCGTTAGAAGCCCTTGAGCGGTCTCCAGAATGTTCTACTGTCAAGTTAGGAAAACCCATATATTTTTGTATATATCAGAGCAGGATTTTACACTATCTAAACCGGACTGTATTGTCACTGGTGCTAACATACAGGTACAATTAATTTAGGGCAATATTTGGGCCAAATCATCTTATGGTAGTCCATAACCGTTAGTAATAACGGTTTAAATCTTATAATCCCTTTGTTATCTGCTTATAACAGGATATGCCATTAAATTAGTGTATAGACTACTCCCTTTATAATTATTAAACAATAATCATAAGGTAATTTTCAGAGTTTTGATGGTGTAGCCACGGTAAAAAAAAATATTGTAATGCGGTAGGATCTCGTATTTTTACTTCGCGTATTACCACGGGATCTACAGTTCTACCACAAATTTGTATGTGTGAATCACTATTCCAATATGAAGGTGAGGGTCTCTCTGCATTGCTCTAAGTAACCTCAGTCTTCCTGACCCTTCCTTCCTAATGTCATTATAGGATACCTTCACTAGACATCATCTACTTCCTTAATCATACACTGCCTGCTGGGTGACAAGGGCAAGGGAAGCACCATCAAGCTCCATAAAGCAGTTACTATAACCTGCAGTTACGTGGGGCGGAAAATTCGCTTCACCCAGCCAGATTGTCGCCCACTGTTCGCAGACTGGCCTGTATGCTCTTGTTGGTGAGGTCACCGCTCACTCTCATCAGTAGGTCCTTTGGTTCCTGGATACAAGTGTTGTAAGGGTCGAGCTGTTTCCCGTACTGATCACCACCTCAGTGATGCGAACTTAAACCCGTTCAACAGTATATTCACCTTGTTGATTCAATTGTAAATGAATTTCAAGTCGTCCTGTAAGATAGTGAGGTTCTGTTGACTGTAGACGTCCCTGCCTGTATGTGTGACTTCAGTAAATGACAACAACCTCGGCCCCAGTGCTTGTTGTCGTTTGTTAAAATAGACAAGAATGGAAAAAACAGACCAGATAATATAAACATGCATTTCACATTTTATTAATTAACACAACAAAAACATTCAAGACTTACGCTTTATGGCAAGATAACAAACACGCTGCTGTTGTTGTCTCAGAGATAAGGACTGTTATTGTTACCTTAATGGATGGAGGTGTTCCACGCCATACCTTTCCTCAGTAAGTCACAAGTGTCTTACTTTTGGTCAAAACTGTAAACTACTGTTTTCAATTTGGTGATTAATTAATTGATAAAAATATTTACTAAGGTAATTAGTAAATCCTTCAATAGTGTTTTTTTTTATTGAACTACCTTCAAAATATTCTAAGAACTTACTCACTTTCCACAAGTTTCTGCTGATGGATTTTTATAAATTTTTTTCAGTGTGTGTGGCTCAGGTGTGACGCCAAGTCATTTGATGCTATCAGGTAAGTCTGCCATCATCCTTTACGTAAGCAAAATATTAAGTCTCAGTCTTGGTCTTGGGTAATTAGGCCTCGGTCTCTGTCTCGGGTATGTGTGGTCTCGGATTTTTTTTAAAGACCTTTGGAGACAACAAATTTAATTATAAATTTCCTAATCAATTGGGAGGGAATTGTCAGCTAGTTCAGGAAAGGAAAGTTACCTCACCTGCTCTGGGGTCACTACCTACGATGAAGGGATCTTCTGAGTCATGGTCAAGGTGACCCAGGTAAGAGATGTGACTCTAGTTCAGTTTTGGCAGCAGTAAGAGGCCAAGTTTCCATCAGTGGTCACTCTAACACTAACCATTCTGACTGTATTTGCCTCCAGTTAGGCATGCACTTAGCCATAGAATACCGATCATCAGGAAATGTACTGAATATATTGATAAATCTTAAGTGTAATGAACATTTCTCACGTTTTAAATATCTTAGAAAATTAAAGTACGTGGATATCATCACCGAGCTTCAATAACATATATGACTCCACTAAATAAAGAATATGTGAAGATTAAATTACTCATTCTTACGTCACGAAAGAAAATACGAATCATTTGGTAGTTGTTACACACAAACACACTCACACACACACACACACTCACACACACACTCACACACACTAATTGGGATATATTTCCATGTTTTAAAATAACACTGATTCTTCATTATCCAGGGATTTCAATTCCTTTAAACCTTATACTTTTATGAACCGAGACTAAGTTTTTTTACTGAAAAGGTTTAACCACCCAGACCACAGCATTTACCCAAAGATTGGTCACCCCCCATGATCGTTAACCACCCTAGCCGAATCACTGTTTGTGGTATAGGAAGGAGAGTGGCAGCATCTCTTGTCTGGACTATTTCCATATTCAGTAATTATCCAGTTACTGGTCTAGTGCTTATGTCGACACTACTGAAGGCTGATGCAGGAGTGTGTGTGGTACTATATGAAGGGCCACTCTTCAGGTGACGGTGGACCTCAGTAGTCACCTGAGGATAAATCATCCCCAAAACTATCTTGCGAGGTTAATTTTCAAGTGATCTATACTTGTTAGAATTGCGAATGGTCTCGATCTCGGAAGACAGACCTTGGTCTCGGTCTCGACAGTTACAAGGTTCCCAAATTTACGGAAATATATTTTACAAACGCTAATTATTTATCTCTCATATTGTTGTGCTAAAAATGTCATTCTCAAACAGAACGACTCCATCTACCTCCAAATGTATCAAAATAAACACAGACGACAGATGGTATTTATTTCACTTCTCTTCCAGCAAGTGGCAAGGCTTTGATCAACAACAAAATCTCATCTTTGGAGCCCAGGGTCGTCAGGTGGTGGAGCCTGGCGAGACTGCCAGCAATAACAGTGATACTAAAACAACGACAATGGACTTCGAAAACACTAAGGCTCTCACTCGACGTAATTATATTTACTACTGTATATGAAAATAACATTTAATAAGGATATTTACCTAATAAGTCTGGTTAGGTTAGGTTTTCTGTGAAACTATTCATTTGCAGTATATGTATTATGATGGTCTACATGATTGTTTGAGGCCAGTCACTATGAAAATAACAACGGAACATACCGCTATTAAGTATTTAACTCTATTTAGCGGCACACACAGCAGAAGCGGCCTCTTCAACCAAAACTGAAGTTGCCTCTGAAGATGTCTTGAATAAAGACGAAAGCTAAGGTGCTCCGTTGTTTCCCTTTTCCCGTGTGATTTTATAAAGATTTATCTTATCCACGTTTTCATTGTGGATCTACATGAAATATATATATATATTATTATATACGAAGTGCCTTTTTGGAGTTTCAGTGATAAACAAGACTTAGATAGAATACAAATTTATTTTCCAAGTAAACATTAAAGACTTTCCAACATAACACTCCTGTAAGCTTCTAATACTTTCTGCATAATGTATCATTTCTTGCTACTGTGACTCCATCTGAGCACTTGTTACCAAACTAAAAATGAAGAAGTCTTGAGCCTATCGTGGAAACGCATCTTTTCCACGGGGAATGGGAACTGACTGTTGTTTATAACCGTGAAGTGAACAAACTGCCGCCTAAAAACAGTGTAAATATAATGTTTACTTCATCTCTCACAGTATGACTGAAGTTAATTTAGTCACCCAACAGTAAAATACTCACTGATTTTTGCTAAAGTTGGAAAGAGACGAACCACGACGTTTTGTGGAGATGATTACTTATGGTATAACTATACTTTAACTCTGCTCTAATTTTATGACAATACGAAGATAAATTTCGAACAAAACTCCCTGGACACTAAACCAGTCATTACCGTTTGGTTATTTTTTTCGAGATTTAATTGTATTAATAATATGTGTATAAGTTAATATGACGACATTAATTTTGATGTAAAACAAAGATCACCAACTGTAAGTTAATTAGAATTAAGACCTGTTAAGATGATGTAAACAATGCCAAGTGTGGAGGAAGTTTGGGCAGTAACTGAAGACGTGGTGAGAAACACGTACAGTAACTATGCTGTAACCATTTCAGAAGCCGCAGTGTGTAACAGCACCACACGTCTCCAGCCAGGTGACGAGGTCGTGTTTCAGTCTGAGAATTATCCAAACCAGTATCCCAATAACCATACGTGTGAGTGGTTCTTCAAGGTGAGTCTATTTTCACTTAGGTAAATGCTTAGTAGTTTACCGATCATATAATGTACATTTCTCTTTTATTATAGACGCCAGTAAAGCATCCGAATTTTTGTCCTGAATGGTGATAGCTGGTAGGTTTTTCTCTCATATGTAATACACAACCCAGAATGAAATAAGGAAAATTTGGTGAATTCGGAAGAAAAATTGACTCAGAAACCAAAAAAAATCATACGGTCGTAATCTTACCTCCAGGTCATTACAGAGGCCAATGACTAATATGTTTATCTTCATATTGTTTCTTTTTAGTCTTACAATCATACATGGTGACGTCATGATACCAAAAAAAAAAAAAAATCACTGTCTACATAATGAAATATATCGTTGTAATGAACTATATATCTTATAATGCTCATTGTTTGATTAAGTTCCTACGGTTGATCAACAGACTGATGCTGACAAAACCCTTACTCTTGAGTGTGATCCATTCTCTACTCAAATGCCTCGGGATAAACTAAGGCTCTTCCAGCCTACATCAACAAACTACCAAAATAATCTCGCTCAGTAAGTAACCTTTTTCAACAGGTGCTAAGATTTTTCTTCTGAATAACAAAGTTAAATAGTTACAGATTTAAGTATTTTGGCTTTTTCTTAACAAAAAAACACATCTGTTTTCTATATTTTCACTTCATTATATAAAATTTTATGAATACTTCCATAAAAATGTAAAGTTTATGTAAAGAACTTTGTACAGTACGTTTATAAAAATTCACTGGTTCAGGTCGATGTTATATTTCTTGCTAATTGATCATGTTCGTAAAAACATCTTTCCCTCCTTCCTAGTTATAAGCGATAGTTAGAATTAACACGTGAAGTCACTCATTATTTATTTAGTACTGGTCATAGACTGTGCTACTCATGATAGCATTCTCCTCTGGCTCTCACGGGCTCTTACGGCGATTAATGTTCAAGATGTTTTATTGAAACTTTTCCCACTGACCTTGTAGAGAGTGAGTATGTTGAACTATGGACCAGGTTTATTTACGATAATCATTGTGTGTAATAAATTCCTGAGGTTATTTTCACTTTGCACCATTGAGTACTTGATGATGGCCTTACTCTGTTTCTTGTGAAAATCGTTCAAATCATTAATAAAGTGACATTTTAAACTGCTAGGTGACTTCGAGGAGTCAGTGTGGAGATAATTACGATGGCTCAGGTTATTCAAGATTCGTATGTTAATGTTTTATAGTGTGGAGCTCTAAGTACTCATATACACTTTTCAGTCGAAACAAAACTTAACTTTTGAAGTAACGCAACGAAGAGTGTGAGAGACTGCCTCCACTAGATCCTAAACTGAATCTGAATCTGAATACAATACTGAAAATTTCACTGACGGTTGTATTAATAATGGTTTTTCATTACAAGTGACAAGTAAAATACGTTTCAGTCATTAAAGGCTTTATTTTAATGGTCGCTAATCCATTTGGTTAGGTTAGATTATAGGGTCCAGTATGCAGGGTCCTGATTATCAATCTGGTGGAACTCAGGATAATTCTGCATCTTGAATTTTTTTCTTATGGTGATTTAGTTGTTATAGAAAACCTTTTGTGTAATTAAACAATTAAAATAATAACTAATATATATCATTCTTCCTGACAGAATAAGTGGTGACGTAGAATGTTTCATGGCGGTCAGCTCCACAAATGAAGTGAGGGCCATTTTCAAAACAAATGATTTAGTAACTTCCACAGGCTTCAGCTGCACTGTCAGTGTCACAGGTGAGTTTGCGTTTCCCCCTTTTTTTTAATCTGGATACTAATGGGATCTTCAGCGCTCGAGCCTGTACCTTCCCCAGTGTCTGTTCCTCCCTGATGGGAAAGCTTATGGGTATGAGATTTGTAGAGGATAAGGCTGAATTATTTACAAATATTATCGCCGTGCACTTGGCTCGTTCACCTATCACATATACTGCAGATCTCTCTCGAGTCTCTCTCTCTCTTGGTGATCAAACATCTGAACATGAGATAACGAACAGGAAGTGTGATAGTGAATCATTTGTTTACATTAGGCATCAGAAGGTACTAAGATCTTATTCATCAGCAGGACACTAATATTGACACACGGGTGGAAACATTTAGCATGTCAGTGGTTCTTAGGCTGGGGGAGTGCCTTTCAATGGGACATCTAAATTTTTCAGGGTAGTGGCCAGAAACCTTGGGGAAAATGATCAACGTATCTCTGACTCAGAATATATATTCCCAATTTAATAAACCCAGTTATGTACACAGAATGGTAACTTCGACTAATTGTTTGGATATTTATTACGGATCGATAACTGATGATGATTTTCTAGGTGTCAAATTACTCCAACCAACATGGTTTGCCTTGGGACAAACTAATCGGCGTTTGCACCGATGAGGCACTGGCCAAGCTTGGTATCTATTCTGGGTTTGTCATCAAAGACCGTCGATCAGTAAACTTTTGCGTATTACGTGCTTCTTTAGTCCAGCAAACGATCTGGACCACCACCTTCTGTTGGCAGAAAGTAGCAGGTTTGGTTAAGAGTGAAGGTTCCTTCTTCAGTCAGTGAAGGCAGTATTTTTACTATAAAGGAGTACCTCGATTCCTCGGTCATTTTCTTCATGCCAATCCTTAAATTTATTTTTAGACTGGTCGAGAGTCTCGCTGATGATGACCTCTAGGATACCCTATCCGGCATTGGGATTCAAGCCACTAATTGTTGGATTGCTCATCAGCTTCTCGTTGAGCTGCTCCTTGAAAGCGTGTTCCACTTCCTGAATCTCAAGTCGCACGGTTTTAAACCCGCTTTTGTAGGCTTGTTGATTTTACCGTTTTTTAGCGAAGCGAATGGCGATTTGTGCTCTGATTAAGCAGTGATCTGTCTCACAGTGGTCTGAGCCACGCATGGCTCTATATTTTGGTGATCTCTTTCTCTGACAATAATGTATTTAATCAGACACTAATGCTTGTATCGTGGGAGTTGCCAAGAACCCTTGAACTTGTCGGGCTGCCTAATCAAGGTATTGGTGATATTAGGCTGTACTCGGCACACTTGCTGAGGAATAAGCCGTTTGCATTAAATTGCTTCGCTCCATTTCTCCCTATAATGTTTAACTTCATCTTACAGTATGACTGAAGTTAACTAAGTCACCCAACAATAAAATACTCACTGATTTTTGCTAAAGTTGGAAAGAGACGAACCACGACGTTTTGTGGAGATGATTACTTATGGTATAACTATACTTTAACTCTGCTCTAATTTCATGACAATACGAAGATAAATTTCGAACAAAACTCCCTGGACACTAAACCAGTCATTACCTTGAGGGTCATGTAAGGCCGTTTGATTATTTTTTTGAGATTTATTTGTATTATACATATGTGTATAAGTTAATGAGGCATTAATTATGATGTAAAACAAAGATCACCAACTGTAAGTTAATTACAAGTAAGACCCGTTAAGATGACGTAAACAATGCCAAGTGTGGAGGAAGTTTGGGCAGTAACTGAAGACGTGGTGAGAAACACGTACAGTAAAGGTGCCGTCACACTGGCATTCTTTCGTCCTTTTTTTTTGTCAACTCTCAGAAAATCGTCAAACTTTTCTGTTGTGCACCGTCACACAGGTGTTTAGAACTAACTCGCCAGTTTCCCTCGTTCGACAACTGTCAACAAACAAGATGGATCCAACTGACGAAGAAAGCGCAGCAATTCTACGCCTTTGTTGGTGTATGAAGAGTCCTGGTGATCCCAGAGACAGCGGCGCTGCCTTATCTGGTCCTCCAAGAACTCCTCGGAGACCTGTGTCCATATTTGAGAAATTATTTTATCTGTTGGCATCGTCATGTTGTTGTCATTCCCGCGTGGTCAAAAGTAAACAACAAATGACATTTTCTTACCTTTTTAAGATCACGAAATTAAACATAATAATGAGTCATCTTGGGAAGAAGAGTAATAATTACTTCATAATAATCTTAGCTTTATATTTTAAGTAGAAATTAGTTTATTTTTATACCTATTTGTAGTATCAATTATAGATCATGAGTTGACTCTGGTAAGTTGTCTGTACGAGTTGTCAACGCAGACAGTTTGCACCGTCTGACATACAGCCAACGACAACGCTGACGATTCGTGAAAAAGTTGACAGTAATGAAAAAGTTGTCCATAGAAATGCTCTTGTGACGCCACCTTAACTATGTTGTAACCATTTCAGAAGCCGCAGTGTGTAACAGCACCACACGTCTCCAGCCAGGTGACGAGGTCGTGTTCCAGTCTGAGAATTATCCAAACCAGTATCCCAATAACCATGCTTGTGACTGGATCTTCGAGGTGAGTGTGTGTGTGTGTGTGTTATTCTTCTCATATTGCGTCGCAAGAATTATAGAGGTCTATAGTCACTTACTGTAGGTAAATACTTAAAGTTTACCAATAATATTATGTGCATGTCCGTTTTCATAGTCAATAAAATTGTGCTCATAAATATGTAGAGTCACCCAAAGTTTCATCAACGTCACCCTGGCTCTCGTAGTCGCAGTTTTACCTGGCAATACTGTGTGAAGTATTGCTGTATTTAATAGGGATTGTGATTGGTGGATCTATTTTCGGTTGTATCACTGTCAGGATAAATGTTAAACAATCAAAAGTAGTCTTTTTATGATAATAAATTATTCATCGTTATTTTTGATCACGCCAATTTTCCAAATGTTCTTATATTTTCTTAAATAATGAAGACAATTATATTAATAAATTGGTAACGCAACTACAACCAGAGCTGTTTACAACACAACAAGAACGAACAAAGGAAAACTTCGTGAATTCAGGCGACAAATTAATTCAGAAACAGCCACGGACATAGTTTTATCCAGTACACTACACTGACCAGTGATTATTATTGTGTCTTCTTTTTACTCTTACAAGTCTTTAATTTCTATTTCAGCAACATTTTCCACTGTCTATATAATGAAATATTCCCTTGTAATGAACTATATATCTTAAGATGCTCATTTGTTTTTATCAAGTTCCTATGGTTGTTCAACAGACTGATGCTGACGAAACCCTGACTATTGAGTGTGAGTCGTTCTCTACTGAAATGACTCTTGATAAGTTAAAGTTCTTCCAGCCGACAGAGACAGCTCTACAAAAAAAGCTCGCTTAGTAAGTACTTTATCACTTATAATATTATTTAATGTCAATATTATGTGATGCAGATTTAAGCACCTTAAAATTTCTATTAGAAAAAAGGTATATTTTCTCCTCATTATATAAAGAGTTATTAATAATACCTTGAGAAATGTAAAGTTTATCTAAAGAACTTTGTTACGTGTTACAATTTTTTGAATTTCTCACATATCACTGATTGATGTGCGTCTATTATTCATTGGTTTAGTTTGATTTTATAGTTCTTGTTAATTTACCATGTGTGTAAAAAATTCTCGCCTGCTTCATCCATCAGAATATATTGTCTGAGTTTCTAGTTACAATTGACAATTAGAATTAATAGGAGAAGTCACTTATCACATGATACTGACCATAGACTGTGCCACTGATAGCATTCTTTTGTGGTTCTTCGAGTGTTACTACAGAAAATGGTGTTCAAGAGTGAGTTTGTTAGTACAGTACAGTCACGGCACCAGAGGATTGTGAACCTGATTTAGTTATGATCGTCATCTTGTGTCCAATAATTTTTTCCAGGTTATTTTCACTCTGTTGTGCACATTGAGTAACTTATAACGGTAAATAATTTTATAACTGTTCATTGTGAAAATTATTTAAATAACTACTTTAAATGTAATTTTAAACTGCCAGGCCACAAAGTACAGACTACAGTATCTTCTCTAACACAAGGTGTACATTGATAAGTAACTGTGAAAGCCATAACCAAGGCTCAGATCACCAAAGGCTCGTACGTTAAATAATAATCTTCAGCAGATGTAAGAGTGCACATAAACGCCTCAATTAAAACAAAACTTAACTCTTGAAGAAGCATCAATAGTACTGTGAGACTCTTCCTAAACCAGATTCATTTTCTTAACACAATTAGGGGACAAAAACTATGTACTGAATCATTATGAATCAGGACGCAGTGCTGAAAATTTCCGCGAAAAAGCTGTTATTACTAGTGACTACTTAAATGGGCCCCAATAGTGGTTAGGTTATGTTGTAGGGTCCAGTAGGCAGGGGTCTGATCATCAGTCTGGTGGACCTCGGGAAAACTCTACATCTTGCTTCATTGTACAGTATAGGATATTCTATTTTTTATTGTCTTACAATGTCTGTGGTACTATCACGACACTCTTGTGTAATTAAAAATTAAATGTATAACTAATACATACTATTCTTCCTGACAGTGCAAGTGGGAACTTGAGAAAATTTATGACGACCAGTTCCTCAAATTCTGTGAGGGCACTTTTCAAAACAGATGGTTCTGTAACCTCCACAGGTTTCAGCTGTACTGTCAGTGTCTCTGGTGAGTTTGTTACCTTTTTCACTTGATTTTAGCGGAATCTTCAGCTCCTGAGGCTGTATCTTCCTTCCCCAGTTTTTCTGATGAGAGAATTTGTAGGTATTAGATTTATGGATGATAAAATTGAATAATGAAAAAATATCTTGCCGTCCACTTGGCTGGTCCACCTAGCACATGTAGGCTACAGGTTATTTTACAGTCTTGGTGATCAAATGTCTGCACTTGAGATAAGAAAGAGAATAATGGATGAGTGGAGGCGAATAAAATATTTACATTAGGCTTCAGAAGGTACTGTACTAAAATTACAGTACCTCGGGAAAAGAAGTCAACATATATTCAGCGTTAAGCACTGACAGTAAAAAGTTTCCCTTTGGCTCTCCATAACACACTGAATGTTGTTGTTACGTGAGAGCAGACCACTAATCATTGTTTTTACACATCAACATGCGCTAGATATAAAAAAGAAATACACTGGCTAAATGTTACGAGCTGCGAGATGAACTGAAGCTTATCTTGGAATGCAGTAGGACCTCGATCTTCTCGTTGTTCCAAATGCCCTTGGCTTAAATTGTCGATATTCTTGATATTTTAAACTCTCAACTGGGAACTCCAAGACAGGGACCATAATATCATGAGTTACTATGACTCCATTCGACCATTGTAGAGGAGTAAACACCACTATCTCACCAGGCGTAGATACACAGTACATAATGGTAAAGAAATGGCACTCATACCAAATTAAGATAGTTCCTTCTAGTAATGAGGCAAGTTATAACAGTAGTCTATATATTCGTGTTAAGGTAATAAATTCCTCACTAAGATACAAAAATTAGGATGAAATATTACATACTTCTACTAATTCTACATATTCACATGTTACAGGCTCCTTGGACTAGATACAAGACTACACTGGAGGCATATGTGTTTAAGAAGCAGCAAGCTGAAGTAGTGGTGTACCTGTTCCTACCACTGACACACTTGCTGCCCTACTGACCGCCTCCCTACCTGACTCACCACCACAACTCAGCTCAAACCCGCCAGTGATCCACCCTGCTGACCGTCACTCGCCAGCATCAGTCTACCTGGCCACTGTAAAACCAGTCAGCAGCAGCGGTAACCTTGCTGAGTTTTACAGGCATCTGCTTTTAGAATTCGATACAGTTTAGGTCATTTACAAGGACGTACCATCGGCGTTGTTTATTCTAAAGCCAAAAGTTATATATGAACGCTGATTGATATTCTTTACTGCGTGTACAAAGTTGAGGCGGAAAGCAACAGAACAAAAGTATATAGAGTAGTAAATTTGAGTAATTTCCACAAAATATGATGAGTGAAGACATAACAGAGAAATTGTTCACTACGAGAGATGACTTAATTTTCTAGGACACAAAACCATTATGTATCATCTACGGTAATTGTTTTCTCTTGCCAACCAGAGAGAACTGTAACGTCATCAATCAACGTCTGTATAGACATAAGGTGACACTTGGTCTTGATAGAAGCCGCATAGATTGTCATGATTGTAATTGTTAAATACTGTTAAACTTATAATAGTTGTGATTATAATTGCTATTACCATATATATTCTGATTGTCACGACAACACTGCACATATTCTGATTGTTATAACTAGATATGTTATTTTATTTTCTCGTCATGACTGCAATTATTATAATATAGTTTCTGAGTGTCATGGTATCAACACCACATACTGTATCTTCTGATCGTCATTACAGGATAAAGGTGTCAACTGACATTAATAGATATGTTATTCCTATAAATTCTGCAAGACAACTAAAAAATTTTTTTTTACATATTTTAAATACAGACGTAATTATTACTATTATTGGAGACATCTTTTTTTCTGATTGTCATAATTGGTTTTATCATCACTATATTTTCTGAGTATGAATTCACTATTATATATAGTTTCTGAATTCGGATCTACACCCAGTTTTAATGTCTCTTCCACAGCACATGGTGTATACTGTGCACTGTTATTCCCATCTGTCAGTTCGTCCGTCCATTAGTTCCTTCTGACAAAGTCTCGTTTCCTTACATATGGTTTGTGTTTTCTTATTAACAGCTTCTTGGTATTATGTAATGATGATGATCATCAGTAGTTGTGACTCCTCCTCTAGGTTTTTCTGCTGAAATTTATGGTCAGAATTTAACAGTTGTTGCTTAAATGTGTCTTAATCCCAACCCATATCAACAACTTTCTGGGGAGTTTTTATGTATTTCCTTCCTTCAAAAACTTTACATGTGAAGCTGAGGCATTTTGATCTAGTGATAATTTGGCGCAAAAAAAAAAAAAAATCCCCATTAGAAAATTCTGATTTTTTTTTCTGTTCATGCAGTTTACCTTCACTTTATTAGGAACTTTCTGCAACTTGGATATTAAAAATTTATAATTATTTATGATATTCAATAAATTATTATTTTTACTAAAAAGGCAAAAATGATCAATTTCACAATACCGCCTCACTACACTACACTACAGACCAATGGAGTTCAGTTCAAACACAATAGACATGAATGGTGCAGCTATCAACACATTGCTGGGCATTACTCTTGGTGTAATGTTACGCAAGGGAAAATAATTGGAAATCAATGATATGAAACACTGAAATTGAAAAAAAAAAATTTAAAGATGATTCATTGAACCGAATAACTGATTATAAAAAATCTGCAAGTTTCCGAGGGATGCAAACTTTAAAACCACGAGCTTTAAGGAAATACTGTTTATAATAATTTGGTGAGACTGCGAAGGGAAACTCCTCTTCGCCTATTTCCCTTCCATACCATGTTGGTGTTATTGTTGGTATTGTTGTTGTTGCTGCATTGTTTTTAGTGTTCTTGTAAATTTTCGCTTTTGCATGTATTTGATTTGCTCTTTGTTTTTCGTTGTGATTAGTATTGTTGCTGTTGTTCTCTGTTGTTGCTAGATGTTTTAATTTCTGGATCGTTACTTAAATATGCACACATGAACAGATTTAGCATGGAGCTGTAACCTTCAATTATGATCTGTTGTCCTGGAAATTTCTTGTTAGGTTATATGAAGTTTTGTTTGGTTAGTCGAGATTTTGGTTAGATAAGGTTATGTTACGATCGGTTGGGTTGGGTTGGGTTGGGTTGGTTTGGCTTGGCTTGGTTTGGTTTGGTTTAGATGGGGTTCGGTTAGGAGTGGCTAGGTTAGGTAAGGTTAAATTAAGTTAGGTTATTTCAGGTGTGGCCTGGTTTGATTGTTAGGTTATTTTAGGCTAGGTTAGGCAGCCCCCCCCCCCCCAAAAAAAAAGACGTGTGTTACGAACCCACGGCCTTGCCGGCGGTACACAGGATGCCAAATCCACTGAACATTGGCCGTTAAAGTACCTGTACTCCAAGTTAGGACGAATGAATCCCTTATATACTTGGAGCAACTGCTCAGGAGTGAAGTAGCTTCGGCATCTGTACAGCATTCCCAATTTTCGGGAGGCAGCTTTAGTTATACTAAGGATGTGTGATTTCCAGGACATATTGGAGGAAATGGTGAGGCCTAACATATTTATTTCAGAATTTGGGAGGATGATAGCGTCCTGAAATGTAATTGGTGGGAGATCGTCTAATTTACAAAGCGTAATTGGTAAATATTGAGTTTTGTTACTATTGAACTTGATCAAGTTTGTATCTCCCCATTCAGAGATGCTGCACAGATCCGCGTTGATAGAAGTAATGATATCAGTTCTAGAAACAGATCTAGTTTGAGAGTTAGGAGGAAGGGGAAAATGTGAGGAAGAGTGAAGAGTGGAATCATCGGCGTAGGAATGGATAGAATTAGTTGTAGTGTGAAGTAAATCATTGATAAAAAGAAGGAAGAGAGTTGGTGAAAGAACATAACCCTGTGGGACGCCACTATTGGTAGAGAAAGAGCGAGAAATCGATCCATCGACAACAACTGCCATGGATCGGCTCTCAAGGAAACTAGAGATGAGAGAACAAAGTGGGGGAGAGAAACCAAAAGAGGGAAGTTTAGATAGCAAAGACTTGTGCCATACCCTGTCAAATGCTTTGGAGATGTCGAGGGCCACGACAAAAGTTTCCCCATAATCCCTAAGAGAGGATGACCAAAGATGGGTGCAATAGGAGAGCAGATCACCAGTAGATCTCGCACGGCGAAAGCCATACTGGTGATCCGACAAAAGAGAAAGGCGTTCAAGGTGACGGAGAAAATGGGAGTTCAAGATAGTTTCGAAAATCTTGGAGAGGGATGAAGTTAGGGCAATGGGGCGATAGTTAGAGGGATTAGAATGGTCACCCTTCGTTGGGATGGGCTGAACCAAGGCATGCTTCCAAGAAGAAGGAAAAGTTTTCGTTTTGAGGCAAAGGCGAAAGAGGCGAGCAAGCACAGGGGCCAGGGCTTCAGCACACTCCCTCAGAACACGAGGGGGTATTCCGTCCTGTCCATGCGCCTTACTCACATCCAACCTTGATAACACACCGGCAACCCTGCAAGTGGAGATTATAGGAAATAGCTTTAACCTGTCTCTGTACTTAGGTTCCTAATGCCCGGGATTAGTCTTGTCATTCTCCTCTGAATTCTTTCGAGGGCTTCTATATCCATTTTGTAGTACGGTAACCAGAACTGAACTGCGTAATCCAAGTGAGGTCTCACAAGCACAAGATATAGTTTTAGGATAACCTCGCTAGTCTTGTAACTAACACTCCTTTGTATGAATCCAAGTACTTTGCTCTTCTTGTTTCGAGCAAATACATATTGTTGACTTGGTTTAAGATTCCTACTCATCATTACTCTTAAATCTTTCACACGGTCGGGTTTCTCCATAACAACGTTGTTCATCGGAATTTGGTTTCTCTGTTTACATCTCCTAGACAAAATACTTTACATTTATCCACATTAAACTTCAGCTGCAATTTTCAGACCATGCGAAAAATTTGTTTTGATATTCCTGTAGTTTTGTGGATTCCTCGTCATATATAATTACACGCCCTATTTTAGTGTCAGCAAGTTTACTTACGTTACTGTCTACTCCTATATCTGTGTCGTTTATATATTTAATAAATAGTAATGGTCCAAGTACTGAGCCTTGGGGTACTCCACTAGTGACGTGACGTTACCCCAATCGGATTTTGCGCCGTTTATGCTTACTCGCTGTTTACTTTCTTGTAACCACGCCCTAATCCATTTTAGAATATCACCTCCAATTCCATGACCCTCCACTTTTCGTATTAGTCTCTCGTGGGGGACTCTGTCGAAGGCTTTGCTTAAGTCGAGGTATACCACATCATAATCGTGCCCATCATCCACTGACTCGAAAACAGCTGAAAACAATCTTATTAGATTAGTCAGACATGAACGCCCACTTGTGAAGCCATGTTTGGAATCATTGATCAACTTGTGCTTCTCCAGGTGATTTCGAATAGAGTTTGAAATCATTGCTTCCAGTAATTTGCCTACAATTGATGTTAAACTGATTGGGAGGTAGTTAGAGGATAGTGATATATCCCCCTTCTTGAAAATCGGTATCACATTTGCTATCCTTCAGGATTCTGGTACTACACCCGTTTTAAATATGTTAAAAAAAATTGCTAAGGGCATACTACGCTCTTCCTTATGCTCAACTGTTTGCGTAGTAGACATTTAAGTTAGTCGTGATACGAGTCCTCTCTTTGTTGCATTTAGGTTTTAACTCCCTGCCTAATTTAGTTTTGTTATCATTCCTATTACTATTACTCTGCAACTTTTCATTTTGTTTAACCGCCCCCACTGCAGTGTCCTCGATCCTTGTGCTCACACGTTCCCCAAGCAGTTTATAGACTTTAACATCTTTTGAACTCCCCTCTCGAGAGAGCCAGCCAGGGATGCCACCCCATCCCTAGACAAATGTATCTCATCCCAAGAATAAAGTTCCCTTCTGCCTTAAAAGTTGTCCCAGTTGTCATTGAATGGCGCTGGTATTGAGTTGCAATATCTGTCGATGAACTGCCATTGACACCAACTGCCCTTGACAACCATTCATTGCCAACTCTCCATCTAGGCAGGACACCACATATGGTAAGGATCCCTCCCTTCACCCTAATACGTTCGATAGCTGTCTTGAACTTACCTAGGTGCTCCTCATTCCTACACCGGCCAATATCATTGCCTCCTGCACTGAGGCAGATAATGAGTTTGTTCCCATTACCAGACAAAATATTGTCCATCCTGTCAACTATATCCCCCACCCCAGCTCCTTGCAAACATACCGTACCTGGGAATCACCAACATGATTTGTGGTGTGGCGTTAGACAGGGAAACGCACTATCCCCACTGTTACTAATCATATTTTTGTGAAAAAACATTAAGTTATGTTTGCCACAGGGTCGATGACGTGGTAACATTTGCACATACTGATGATCTGGATGTAATTTCCCAAACAGAAGATGCCTTTCAGAACTTCATGCCTGTGGATTGATATTAAACTCCGGGAAATGTGAAGTGATGATGGTGTCCCGACAGAATGAAGAGTTTGAAATATGGCTTAATGGAACTGAGTTTAAGTTACTTTATGTTAGGTTCGATTCAGTTCAGATAGGTTAGGTTAGGTTGGGTTAGGTTAGGATAGGATAGGATAGGATAGGTTAGGATAGGTTAGGTTAGGTTAGGATAGGATAGGATAGGTTAGGATAGGATAGGATAGGTTAGGATAGGTTAGGTTAGGTTAGGTTAGGTTAGGTTAGGTTAGGTTAATAACATTAGGTTAATTTAGGTAGGCTAAGTGTTGTTACTTTATGTGGGGATAGGTCAGGTTAATTTTGATTACGTGAGCATAGGTCAGGTCAGTTTACGTTACAACACCGCTACTTAAAATTAGGAAAACGCGTTTTTTAATATATTGTGGATATGTCAGCTATCAATAGATGGGATGGGAATGCCTTTTTTTTTTACCCTGTAATAAATTGTTGTATCATTGTTGTTGTATCAGCTGCCAATAGAAGGCGTGGGCATGCACCCTTCTGAATAAATTATGAATATATTGTAGGTTTTCAGCTCTAAGCCTGGCCCTGTCCGCACCCCCTTTAAGCTGACCCTGACTACACCGTACCATCACCACCACTACACCCAACCATCACCACCACTACACACTATCATCACCACCACTACACCCTACCATCACCACCACTACTTCCTACCATCACCACCACTACTTCCTACAATCACCACCACTACTTCCTACAATCACCACCTTTACATCATACCATCATGAGTTAAAACCTACCCAACCCCCCACCCGCACATTCCCCCTACCCTCCCACCGTTATCCCTCACGTGATGCTGAACTTCCATTTAGTT